GGACCCCCCAAACCTCCCCTCCCCCCTCCCCCTCAGGCCTCACCCGCCGCCAGCGCGGCCACCAGCAGCGCTCGGAGCACCCCCAGGGAACTGCGGAGCGCTCCCAGGGAACCCCAGGGCGCTCCCGGGGAACTCCAGCCCGTTCCCGGGGAAGCCCGGCCCGGCCCCGCCGCCATCACCGCTCCACTTCCGCGATGCGGCGGAAGTGACGCAGCGGAAAGCGGCGCCGGTTTCCGGGGCGGTCCCGCGGTGCCGACGTGGAGGTTCCGGGTTGCGGCCGGGCCGGGCTGGGATCATGTTGACCAAATTCGAGACCAAATCCGCGCGGCACTTTCCACCCTTTTTGGCCCTATTGCCGGGAAAAACCGGGATAACTCGGGATAACCCGCGGGTCGGGCGGTGGGGAGGGGGAATCGTGAGGGGAAGGCGGAATTCCGTCGTGAGGGGAGGCAATGGCGGATCCTGAGGGGGCTGAGGGGCGATCCCGGAGGAAAGGGGATCCAGCGGGATTTGGGATCGGATCTGGGATCGGATCCCGGGAATGCGGCAGGGCCAGAGGGAGCGGCCTCGAGCTGTGCCCGGGAGGGGAATTTGGGATGGGTTTTCCATGGGAAAAGGGTTGGGAAGCGTCGGAAGGGGCTGAGGGAGGGTTGGAAGGAAATCTGGGATTCGTGTGCTGGGAATTCCGGGGTTTGTGTGCTGGGAATTCCAAGATTTTTGTGCTGGGAATTCCCAGATTTTTGTGCTGGGAATCCCGCGGTTTGTGTGCTGGGAATTCCGGGATTTTTGTGCTGGGAATTCCCAGATTTGTGTGCAGGAATTCCAGGATTTGTGTGCAGGAATTCCGGGATTCGTGTGCTGGAATCCCGGGGTTTGTGTGCTGGGAATTCACAGATTTTTGTGCTGGGAATTCCCAGATTTGTGTGCTGGGAATCCCGGGGTTTGTGTGCTGGGAATTCCCAGGTTTTTGTGCTGGGAAGTCCAAGGTTTGTGTGCTGGGAATTCCAGGATTTGTGTGCAGGAATTCCAGCATTGGTGTACAGGAATTCCGGGATTTGTGCTCAGGGAATTCCCAGTCTTTTCCCAAGGTTTCCCCTCTTCTTTCCCACGGTTTTCCCTCTTCTTTCCCAAGGTTTTCCCCTCTCTTTTCCCGAGGTTTTTCCTCACCTTTCCCGGCTTTTTCTCCGTTCATTCCCAAGGTTTTCCCTGTCTCTTCCCAGAATTTTCCCTGTCCTTTTCCCCATCTTTTCCTCACCTCTTCCCAGACATTCCCACCTTGCTGGGAATCCTTTTCCCAGGATTTCTTTTCCCAGGATTTCCCCTCTCTTTTCCCAGTTTTTTCCCACCCTTTTCCCACCCTTTTCCCAGGGTTTTCCTCATCCTATCCCAGTTTTTTTTCCCAGGTTTTTTCTCAGTTTTCTTTCCCAGTTTTTTCCCAGGTTTTCCCCATCCTATCCCAGGTTTTTCCCACCCTTTTCCCAGGGTTTTCCCCATCCTATCCCAGTTTTTTTCCCAGGTTTTTTCTCATTTTTTTTTCCCAGTTTTTTCCCAGGGTTTTCCCCATCCTATCCCAGGTTTTTTCCCAGTTTTTTCCCACCCTATCCCAGTTTTTTTTCCCAGGTTTTTTCTCAGTTTTTTTTTCCCAGGTTTTCCCCATCCTATCCCAGGTTTTTCCCACCCTTTTTCCAGGTTTTCCCCACACTTTTCCCAGGGTTTTCCCCATCCTATCCCAGTTTTTTTCCCAGGTTTTTTCTCAGTTTTTTTTTCCCAGGTTTTCCCCATCCTATCCCAGGTTTTTCCCACCCTTTTTCCAGGTTTTCCCCACACTTTTCCCAGGGTTTT